AGGTGCGAATTAAGCGAAACATTCTTGCTGACTTCACGAGTATTATTTGCATAATCGATTCAGTTTTACAGGAATTTGAGAGAGTTTAATTTGGGAAAATTTTGCGTAAAATTTCAATTTTATTCTCTACGAATTCAACTTTATGTTTATTGTAAATGATTTGAAAAGTTTCCATTTAATACCAAAGAAAATTGATGAAACTGAAACGAATTATTTTCAGAAATGATTTGAAAAGTTTCCATTTAATACCAAAGAAAATTGATGAAATTGAAAAGAATTATTTTCAGCAAAAGAAAGCAAAACTTTATATGGAAGTAATTTAATAGATTTTGACTAAATAATGAAATATAAAAACAAGTTTTACAAGGAATTTTTCAATAAAGAATTAATATGTTTTCAAAAATAAACTTGAATTTAGTAATTCATGTTTTAATGCAGTTTTCTTAATTCAGACGAAACATTGTAAAGATTTTAATTTATGTTAAAAACAAAAACTGAAGAAGATTAATGATTCAGCTTAAACGAATTAACATGAAATTGGTATTGTAATTACACGCCTGCTTCGTGAATAAAACCTGCTGAAAAGAAAAAAAAAAGACGAAGTAGGTTGCTTCTCAAAATTCAGTTTCGCTTTTGTTACGCTGTCTCCCTTTCACTCCTCTCCACAAAAGACGCATTTATTCCTCTCTCTCTTACTCTTTCACTCTATTTCGTATAACACAGAAACAAATACACACATTCCCTTCGGTCGGTGTAATATTTCAGCGGGAAATGAAAAAACAAAGAAAGAAAAAAAAACATACAATTTCGGCCTTAATTCTCATGTTACGTGAGGTAGAAAGTGAGCACATGTATATTAAAGTAATACATCAAAAAGGGCGAACGACGGGGCAAAACAAAATACACACACACACAAGAAAATACGAAATAAAACAAAACATACCGCAGACACGAAACAAATGAACGTTGTTGTCTGCGTTTTCCCTTTTCATAATAATCAGAACACACTTTTCCTATCTTCATTTTCGTTTGTTCGCATTTTAAGCTACGTAAATGCAGACGTTTTTTAATTACGGAATCGCGATCGGTTTTTTTTTTTTTTTGCAATATCAGAATCGAGTGGTTTATGGTTTTGTCAGGAGACAAAAGGCGCTTTTGTTCGACGATTATTCGTTAAAGTCGCAATCTTGCTAATGAATGAATTTTAATGTAATAAAGTTTCAGTTTTCAATTTGCATATTTGCAATCTTGGCAGCAAGTATTATTTAAATTCGCAAAACTTTCTATTTGACTGAAAATTATAGTAAAACGGATAAAGTTGTAAAGATGATACATCCAACACGTTTTAATCTTGATATATTCAGCTTTCATCTTTCTACGATTTATACTTTTAGAGCAATTCTTAAGAAGGTGACTTAATAATCAATTTTTAGTTTGTTTCAATTTCAAATTGCAGCAAAACGGCTATAGCTACAATTATTACAAAATACTCTATTTATTCCTCATGTCTTCTACTCTAATTTTCATCTTCAATAAGCATTCTACCTATTGTAGTTTTATAGAAATACTCACTGCAAACCAGCTCCCTTTGGGTAACAGCACTTGCATGGCTGCCGTTGACGAGGGCCTTCGCCCATCCTGCCAAGTCTCGGTGCGTCTCCGCTCTTAAACTGTGCGTGATGACTCCGTCTGCTGTGGCACATCGGATGCTGAACTCGGGCAGTTCGGCCCTTTTGCCAGAACCTACTAGACGGGTGGCTATTAGAGGGAAGGCCTCTGCGGGCGCCCTCCACGCTTCCCCAGACCAAGGGGCGCTTTCGTACAGCCGCAACTCGCTGTCCGTCACCGCCGCAAATATTGAATGCCATCTGTCCATGTCCTCCGAACTCTCAGAGCTTGACATATTATTCTGCAAACAAACACACACGATTAGGTTCGTCGCCTTTCCTATCAGATTTCAAGATTACTCAACTCAACAAAATCTTTTATCTATTCTCATAAAATCTCTATATTTTTATTATCATCTTTCTACTATTTAAAATTTGCAGCATTTATTAAAGAATTTTTTAAAAAGTTTATATTTTTGTAAATATTCATTTTGCAGATGCATAAACACCTGAGAAACACCTGAATTTTAAATGAAAACCTGTGTTTTAATTGAACACTTGATTACACATTTAATGTAAACTTTATAAACATACTTTTTCTAATATAGTTTAAAAAGTTTATATTTTTGTAAATATTCATTTTGCAGATGCATAAACACCTGAGAAACACCTGAATTTTAAATGAAAACCTGTGTTTTAATTGAACACTTGATTACACATTTAATGTAAACTTTATAAACATACTTTTTCTAATATAGTTTAAAAAGTTTATATTTTTGTAAATATTCATTTTGCAGATGCATAAACACCTGAGAAACACCTGAATTTTAAATGAAAACCTGTGTTTTAATTGAACAAATGTAAACTTTATAAACATACTTTTTCAAATATAGAAGTAAATAAGTTTACGTTAAATTGGATATTTAATATACAAAACTTTTCTGCTTTAAAAATGAGTTTTTCCCAATAAAACTTTGAGATTTTAAAGAACATATAAAGTTATTCTCGTTTATTAATAAAGAAAAGGTTTGTATTTTAAGCATGTGCTTTATTTGTAAAATAAATGAAGTATTTAACATGGATATCATGATTACAAATGGGATTTAAAGAAGACATAATGGTTAAACTTTGTTTTTTTAAGACGATTTTACAGAACTTTTGGAGAATGCATTTCTCCTAATCTAATTTAACTCGGATGATTTGATTGTAAGAAATGTTATTTTAGTGCTCGAGATATCCGGTAGGATAGTTTCAGCTAAGCTTTAATTTACATTTTCATTTTGGAAGTTTTGCAGAAGAAAAGGGTACTTCATGCTGGAGAGGGATTTTTTGGGTCGTCGTAGATGGTGGATGGTACAGAATAAAAACGAAGGAAAAGAGGAGGTGGAGGAGGAGAAAATGGGCCTTGGAAATAAAAGGAAATGGGAATAAGCGGCACCGTCGGCGAACTTTCAATAAAGTTCGGTTATTGCTTTTTGTTCAGTCTTTCGTAGGATTATGTGGGCTATTACAAGTCACGTAAATGCTGCTGCTGGGGGATATTAAGAGCGGTTGAGGCCACCATCCCAATACCACCACACACGTGTGTGGATCAACTTTCAGCGAAATATCAAGAAATAAAGTCATTCTTCAACGCACAACGAATTACTCAAAATTGCATTGAAAAATACATTATTCTATTGAAGAATTTATAGATTTAGGCACACATAATAATTCAATTATTAATTTAAGAAACAATTATAGATATTGATTAGTATTTAGTTTGTTCATAGATGTCTAGGAAATGTCAAATTTAAGTATTTCTCTAATTGTTAACACGTTGATGACGGCATGACCTACTGGTGGGTCATAAATTATGAATAATAGTTTTGTAGCTATGCACGCCACTGATTTTGACTGAGTATAACCTCAAATTTCTTACGTCAATTACAAAGCTTAAACGCCAATACATTTCTTATACATATTTCAATTTTTACATAATTTATGAATATTGTACAAAATAAATTGTGAGACACTTTTCTGACAATTGTTATAAACTGTTGAAAAATTCAAATTAAAAAATGTATAAGAAAAGTTGAAGTTTGTAATTGACGTAAGATATTTGACTTTTCACTCAGTCCATAGGCGTCCACGCAAAATTTTCTCGCAGCATGCGACGTTTTCAATAATTATTAATCCCGACGCTTGAAATATCGACTACCATAATCCCGACAATCAAAATCTCGACTGTATCGAAATCCCGACTATATTGAAATATTGATTGTCGGGATTATGTTAGTCAGGATTTTGACATAGTCGGGATTTCGAACGTCAGGATTTTGATTGGCGGGATTTCGGTTGTCGGGATTTCGATTGCCACCGGTAAAAAATATGCACAAATTGAGCATAATTAAATATTTAGTGACAAATTCCAATTGGGTTAATAAATATTTTTTTCCTAGATGTCGCTGCAAATGTCAAATCAGTTTTAAATCTTATTTGAAATAGTGAGGCATCCGGGGGGTTCTTTATGAGCAATTGTTGCATAATAGAATTCCCATGCTCATGTCTCATCCAATCCCAGGACGTTGGCGTCTACAAAGCAATTCTGAAGTTTATTAAAATATCTAATGCCTCTATATGATTTAAATTTGTTAACGTTTCTAATTTACACCCAAGAACCTATGTACTGAACCGCTGGGACGTTATATTTTTATATTCGACTCGTTACCTTTCTTGTTTTTATCTGTCTTGCCGTATATCTCTTATGTATATATTTAATTGAAGTTAGTTTAAGTTTGGTTTAATAGTTATATTTTTAGTTTCGTTAGAAGAAGTTGTCTATTTTGATTATTTGGACTGAAGAAGGAAGTTTTGATTTAATTGGAAGAAGCTATTTACTTTAATTATTTGGGCGGAAGAGGAAATCCTAAGAATAAAGTGTTATTTGGGTTTTTGTGCTTTGACTGAACAGACAGTGGACAGTGGAAGCCAAATGAAGAAGTGGGAAGGAAGAAAGAAGAAGTAAATCTTAGTTCATTTTTTAAATAAATCTAACAAATTAGTAATAGTTCAGATTATCTATATAATTTGAACTTAATAGTCTTATATTCTATTTGATTATGATTGAATTATGCGTGTATATGTATCCGGTGGCAATCGAAATCCCGACAACCGAAATCCCGACGTTTAAAATCCCGACTATATGGAAATCCCGACCCATAATCCCGACAATCAAAATCCCGACTATATCAAAATCCCGACTACCATAATCCCTACAATCTAAATCCCCACCATATCGAAATCCCGACTATATTGAAATCCCGACAGTGTCTTTTATTATTATAAATTTCTATAATAACATTTTTATGGTAGTCAGGATTTCGATATAGTCGGGATTTCGGTTGTCGGGCTTGCGATATAGACCCATATGTTTCTATGAGAAATAATCCTATGTTTCTTTAGTTGCCTATGTTAAAATATCATTTTTCAACAACAAGTAGTTTTTTTTTTAAATATTTGTTAATTATATTATTATATTATAATTAATCCCTTGATGAAGATCTGCAAAATCTCATAAATTATGGACGTATTTTAAGTTTTTTTCTTTTATCAGAGAGAAGAGTAAAGAAGGAAAAAAGTATCGTTTTTCGCTTGTTTAAAAAGCTTTCCGTGCAATTATCGGTGTGCAAACAGCATTAGCTTATTAAACACTGCGATATCGGAGAGTCTATCAAGAATTAATGCGCCTTTAGTGGGGATTTTATTAAACCGGCGCTGAACTGTGTGGAAAGCACACACACATACACACAAATTGTGTGAGAGAAAAGGAGAAAGAAATATACGGAAAGGAGGGATCATATCGAGGCCCATAAATCGCATTTCGGCTAATAATATTTCCATCCAGGAAAGCCCCTTGTTTTCCGACGTCCCATCGTTTTTTTTTCTCTCCCTTCTTCAATACACACTCACACGCACGGACCGGGAGAAAAAGGGAGAAGAAAATGAACGATAATAAAAAAATATTTTATCTTTTCGCCGCCCCCGCATTACTTATATATATATACGATGATAAAATCAAGAAGGGAAACCCAAAGGTTATCTTCAAGAGAGAAAAAACAAAGGAGGAGAAGAGAGAAGTAGGCTTCGTTTTTATTTAAAAGTGAAATTTTGATTAAATTTGATAAAACAAAAGCATAAAATTAATTTGAGCTTTTAATAAACGCCTATATTCATAAAATATGATGTTTTTTTTTAGTTAAAAGCTAATGTATTTAATTAAAAACGACGTAAATATTTCAAGAGTCGAAAAATTACAAAAAAAAAATTATAAAAAATACAATAATCATGTTATGTTAATTATTCCTCAGTACTTTGTAATTCTTTCATTTCTTTATATTGTTAGCAAATTGCAAGAAATTGACAGTGATTTCAATAAAAAAAAGAGAGAGAAATATATCAATTTTAGATCAAGTAGACGAGAAAATGACAAATCCCATTGACATTGTTGGTTAATACTAGTATTGCTCCTAGATGTCACGTCTAATGTCAAAACAGTTTTTTAATCTTTCTAAAAAAGAAAAATTCAAAATCATATTTGATTATGATTGATGTAATTCAATTATTTAAATTTTTATATTTAACAAATATTGGTTAAATCATTAATTAAAGTTTGTATTCTTATATTGTATTAGAGAATTAAAATACTTGTTAAATTGTACTTTGTGTTTCTTTCATTTCTTTATTTTGTTAGCAAATTACAAGAAATCTATAATGAGACTACATTCATTTTATTTGTTTTAGTTTTAATTTTAATTGTAATTTTTATTTTAAAAATACCGTTGGTGGTTATTGAAAATAAATACAGATAATTAGAAAGAATCTACATGAGTAGAAGAAATCAGTTTATTTTCAATAATTAATTGCATACAAATTGCTATTAATTATGATAATTATTTGAATTGAAAGATATAAAAAGTTAAGTACTAGTATTGAATGTTGAAACAATTGACTGTTGTTTGGTCAACAACTTACCTCCATTTTGGTTCGCCAAAACAAAGCATAAAATGAATTTGAGCTTTTATTAAACGGCTATATTAATAAAATATGATGTATTTTAGTTAAAAGCTAATGTATTTAATTAAAAACGACGTAAATATTTCAAGAGTCGAAAAATTGCAAAAAAAAAATAAAATAAAAGATTCAATAATCATGTTATGTCTATTATTCCTCAGTACTGTGTATTTATTTCATTTCTTTATTTTGTTAGGAAATTGCAAGAAATTGACAGTGATTTCAATAAAAAAAAGAGAGAGAAATATAT